TAAGATCACAGTCCTGCAGGTGTGCACACAGCTCCAACTCTTGTGTTTATTCCCATGCTGGGTGCGTTTGCAGGGAGGCAGTGTAGCACTAGATGTAAGTCCTCACTTCTCTGTGTTGGATTCAACTGTAGAAATGAGATGCAGGTGGTTTTCGGGCATGTAAGTGCTTGTGTATCTGCATTTTTCATACATAATAAGAGGTCTGATATACAAATGTACACTGGTTACTTTTCATTGGTAGGTAACTTTGAAGATTCTGACTTTTTTTTTGCACTTAAGAAGCGGCTTTAGGAGTTCTTCACCCATGTGACCTTTGCAGCTTCCTAAACTTTTTAAAAATTTTCTTTCAAGGGGAAGACTAGTGCATTCTGAGATGATAGCTGCCATTTCCTCAGGGAATGCTTTAAAGGTTTCTTTCTCACAAGGCATTCTCCCAGTACTGTATAGATTCTAGAGACTTTCTTTGGAAAATGTTGAAACAAAAAAACCTCTGAACCTGCTAACAGTAAACTGTTTCTGTCACTGGAAGGAAAACAGATGTCAAGAACTGCTGAAAATTTATTTAGTTTCCGTTCAGTTTAGCTGCTGTCTTGTTAGAGTTAACCTAGACTTTACTAGTCTTACTAATTTTCATCCTGAATTCCTTCAAGTCCTTTTTGCTGTTTATCTGAAATGTACTGTCTACTGGGAGGAAATGGCCTTTGCACTGGGTGGAGCTCTTGCCTTGTTCTGACCTCATGCATCTCTGCAGAAGTGGTTATACTTGTAGGTGACACTAGGTTGACTGTCAAGACTGTTTTTTGATGTAGTGTAAATTACTTCCTGTTTTTTTTTGTGTATTGCATAATTTATTGTTCAAATTATTGATCTGTAAGAAGTTTTAAGGTTTTTCTAGTTCACTTTTCATGTAAGCATACCCTGAGAGTGAGTGTTTTGTCAGTATGCATGGTGAACTGAATAGCCTCTGGACTTGAAAAACGCAACAGAACCGTTGATCTGTCTCTTACCTGAAATAATTAAATAAAAATGCAGTGGGAAGCATCAGTTTGAAAGTCATTACTGTGTTTGAAAAAAAAAAAAAAAATTTCAATAAATAAAAATATTATATAATACAGTCTATGCCTGTATTAGCAAGTAATGTGGATTGAGAGGAGTGGATCTGTAGACTGAAAGACGTGCTGAGAACCTGACATGAACACTGCACATGTTTCAGGGTTTTGTCTTCTTTGAACTATGTCTAGGTTGGTCACCTGGAATAGGTGCCTGTTTCTGGCCAAGGAGCCTTAGCAGTGCACTTAAATCACACATCTTTCAGTTTGCTGTAATCTGAAGGGAATCCAGGTGGTGATCCAGGTGCATTCTGGGGTGAAAACAAAACTGTCGTAAGAGGAAGTGGCTGGAGATTTGCTCCAAAAGTGCGGTCCTGACCTGAAAAGAAATACCCAAATAAATGAACCCTAAATAACCTTGGGCCTTTTTTGTACAAGTAATTTAATGGAACACTGTCAGAACACTGTAGATCTTTGCTGCAGACTGCTGGGCACTGGCTGTGCTCTGCTCCGAATGGTCTGTGCCAGTGCCTGCTGTAGTTTGCTGTTGTCCTAAAAACCCTTTTTTAGTGCTTTCAGTCATGTTCTTGGATGCATCTGTTTTGCTTCAGTGTGCAGCTACTTCTATTCCAGCAACAAGAAATGCCTTCTGGTTTTTAGCTGCTCTCTTAAACATTATTTGGGACAAAGAAATCTGGCTTTAATGTGATTTGTGCACAGACTGAGACTTGTTAGGAACAATGAAGATTTTGTAGCTGAGATTTGCTTTGCCTTGTGGATGTTTCTTACTGTTTCATGACCAAAAATTTACTCCAGCCACACAATAACTATAGGCTCTATTGATGGGGAAAGGTGTCCAGATGTTTGAAAATGTATGTGAGGGTCAGTTTTCTTGAGCATTTTGCAACATTTTCATTAGTAAAGTAATTTGTACAGATAAATAACATGAATGTTTGGTTATTAAATAATGGTTTTGATGTGTTTTTAGTTCCTGGCACAAAGCTTCCATGTGTGACTTCAGGGCCCCTAGGTGCAAACAGAACAGATGGGCTCAGCCCTGAAATGGCTTGCATTACAGATTGGAGAGTCCTTGGAAGCAGTAAACAGACAAGAAACATGGAGGCAGGGAGATTATTTGTCAAGTGTGGGCAGCCCATCTAATTAAATGTTTTCATATTGTGCACATGGTAATGTTTGAAAGCCAACAACAAAATGACAGACTGACAGCACACAGGATGTCCTAGGACGTAAATACCTTGCTTCATCGGTAGCCTTTGCTTGCTGTGTGTTTTGCAGGAGCACTTCCCTCTCAGAATAGGTCCTGTTTGATCTCTCTTCAGTATCAGGAAAATGTGAGCTGCATTTTGGTAAAAGCAGCACTCTCCACAGCATGACGTTATCTTACTACATTTATTAACTTGAGCAGCTTGGGGGCTGTGTGTTAGCTGCTGTACAAACCTGTGCTGAAAAGGCAGACTAAAATGTAGTACCCTCTATAAAGAGGAGATAAATAATACCAACTTTAATTTAAATATGCAACAACTTGGGGATAAGAGACAGAGGCTGGAATTTTTGAAAGCATCAACTTCTTCGGCAGGGCCAAGACTAGAAGATTTGATCTCAGCCAGATAAATAGTGGAGGATCATAGAATCACAGAATGGTTTGGGTTGGAAGGGACCTGAAAGATCATCTAGTTCCAACCCCCCTGCCATGGGCAGGGGCACCCTCCACTACACCAGGTTGCTCAAAGCCTCATCCAGCCTGGCTTGGATATCAAAATATCATTTCAACTTGAAACCCCAGACTCCTGAGAGACTAACGCGAAATGAGATGTCTTTATGGGTCAAGGTCATTAAACAGAGGCAGTTATTGTCAGTCATGCAGGTGACAGATTGAGCTTTTAAGTCCGAATAAAAAGTTTTATTTTTCCATTAGTGGTGGGTAGCGTCTTCGTGATGACACTACTAACTAGTCTGATCTTACACTCAAACTGAATCCCACCTAAGCTCATTTTAGGTGTCTTCCATGGACCAAAGGAAGTAATTCTGAGCTTTCTAGGCATTTAAGGAGTAGCATGCCTATTTATTTTCAGAATATTCTGAAGCTGCCTCTACTATTTCAACCTTAAAAACTGTTTTCTGACTTGTCTAACTGTTCTTCTATTGTCTGCTCTGCTTTATTCTCCAATCTTGGAAGCCTGTGCCTGTCCGATTTATTTCTCTGCTCTTGTGCTATTGCTGCTGTTCTTTTGAAATACTGTGCTTCCTCTCTTTCTCCTCCTTTGGGAAAAAGATGAGGAGAAAGCTTGTGCTACTTTCTTTTTCCTTCTAACAGCAAGCTGGCTTGCTTTGCCAAGAAGAGCCTGTTCTGTTAGAGAGGTTCTTCTCCCTGAAATATATTACCCTGTGTTTAGAGTTTTTTCCTGAATTTCAAAAGCTAACTTAATAGCCTCTAATAGCTGTGTGATTGGCATCATCTGCCTCAGTCTGATTTTTAATGAACAAATAAAACACTGCTAAACTAGTAGGCATTCTAAGGTAGAAGCCAGTTCTTGAATATTGATGTCTACTTATTAGTGGAGTCAGATCTGGAGAAGTGAAGTCTTGTTTCTCAGAAGGTCCCATCTCCTTGAAAAGCTGTTTGGAAAAAAGGAGAAAGACAAAAACTCACCAAAATATTTTAATGGGAAAGGAAAGAACATGACATAACTGAAACCTTGTGTGGTTTATCTTGGTTGACTGATTCCCTAATCTACTATTAAACTCTTAAGACCTCAAGAAAGCAACTTTTGAAAGAGTTTGGAAGAAAGCAGAGGTTCGAAACCTGTAATGTTTCTAAAAGACACATCTGTGAGGGAGAGCTGTTAGCCTGAGGCCTCTCAACTTTTGTTGAGCTCTACTTAGCAACTTGAAAGCTAAATAAATACCATGTGGTGTTCTACCTGCTTGAAATTGAGACATTGCTCCATGATTTGTCACATTGTAGTACCTAACACCTCCCTGTAGAATATTTGAATCATCTTTATGTTTTGAGGGTCAGCGTGTTGTGAATTTTGGAGGAGTATTATTTCTCCACGTGTTTGCCTGTTCAGGGGATAGGAAAACTCATTCTTAAAGCTTGCAGCCATAAAGATAAAAGCATGATTGATGTTTTTGAGTAGCAGCATGACAACTTTGCTGTTCCAGCATGTTAATTATGCATAAATAAGTAGCATCGGCAGGGCTGCCAGTTCACCCTTGCAATTTTTGAGAGAAACGTAGAGTATTGCCTATGATTATCTCAGTTTGTGTGTAGTATCAGGAAAGTAACTTTTGCTTTCCTTTCTCCTCCCCCTCCTCATTGTCAAAACAGGTTGTAGCAAAACACAAACACGAACAGTTTTAGCAGAGGTTGTGAAGTTGCATGGCAGACTCTTCTCCAGAATTAGAGTGAAATACTTATTCATGTGTGAGATGGAAGAAAGATTTTAATGTCTCCCTCCTATCTTTCTGGGCATATCTTGTATATCTGAGTGCCTGGTAAACTAATGAAATCTCTTCGTAATATCTTTGCAGGGAGTGCCTTGCTTAGGGAACAGGTGTAGTCTGCAGTACAATTACAGCAATCTCAGCTTTTGCTACCTGCAGTCTGAATAAACTTTTCTTCATGCTTTATGCTCTCATGCTGTCCTGAAAGATGTCCTGGTTTACTGCAGTTCACTACATCAGAATCTTTGGGGAAACTGTTGGAAATCTTGCCAAAACATGCTATGTGCTCTAGGAGGTAAGAGAGGCTAAGAAGTTTAAAAGCAGATAAAGCCAAACCTAAAACTTACGTATAGGAGCTTTATATTTCCTGCATGTGAACCAGAGTTGAAAGCCCAGAGGGACGAGAATTGCTTGTGCTCAAAATATTGAGGGAGGAGGGGAAAAGTAAATAATTTAGTGTTCTTACTTCAGAAGCTGTACCTGAAAGATTAGTTTGGTGTCTTTGCTCATGTTCGTTTCTTCATGTCTCTGATCACAGTAGTGTTTCAGGTATTGCTTCTAAAAGAAAGTTACAGGAGCTAGTAAGTTTTCCCTTCGCAGCTGCTGCAGCGCCTTTAAGGGTGGCCTTGGAACTTAGAAGGAATCGTATGGAAGAATTTCTGCAGTCACACACAGTTTTGGAAAATTTTCAATATGGTTTTTTCTCAGAGATGGAGCTAGTGACAGATATCCAAGTACAAAAACATAACTCCTCTTTCCATAGAAATAACTTTGCTTATTAATATCTTATATGAAAATATTGTGCTTTTTGGAATGGGTGGGATAATCTCGCTATGTGTTTCAGTGTTACTTCAGTGCATTATTATTGTAGGGGGACAAACGAGGGGAAGAATGCTACTTTAATTGTTTTTTTTAATATTAGTGCGTTATATAAATGTGGCGATTTAGGTCTGAATATTTTTCTTTAAATCATTTTATAGCAATATAGGCAACCAATTTCCAGGCCAAGGTGTTCCTGCTGGATTTTCTATGTATCCTGCATTCAGTCCCTTACAGATGATCTGGTGGCAACATATGTATGCACGTCAGTACTACATGCAATAGTAAGTCTGTGTTATCTTGGGTCATGCTGAGTTACACTAATGAAAGAAAGGTATTAAAAACTTCAATGTCATTTGCAGGATCAAAGTGTCTGTGTTTATTTTGGCTGGCAGTGCTGTTTTGACACTTAAGTTTTGTCCAGCAAATTATAAAATCCAGTTTTGAATTGGAATTAAATTAATGTATTCACTAAAGATTTAAGGGAAAATGCAGTTTGTTTGACATCTATTGTATCTGCAACTTTGCTGTTGTTAGTGTAGAAAAGAAGACAAGAATAGGCTTAGAAATTTTGGTGTGTGTTTTCTGACAAACTAGTTTTGTGTTTAAATTTTTAGCCAAGCCGCTGTTTCAGCTCAGGTGACTTCCAGCACTGAGCCAGCGAGACCTGCAGTTGCCCAGGCTGTAAATTCAGAACATGCTCCTGCAAATGAGCCTGCAGCAGCACCAAACGTAGCCGTCCAGGAGAACAGGCCTGTGAACCCAAATGTTCAGATGAATGCACAGGGTGGCCCAGTAGTGAACGAGGAGGACTTCAACCGGGACTGGCTGGACTGGATGTACACCTTCTCTAGAGCAGCAATTCTTCTGAGCATTGTATACTTCTATTCTTCCTTCAGTCGATTTGTCATGGTAATGGGAGCCATGCTGCTGGTTTATTTGTGAGTACAACGGTTGAGTACAGCTGCAGATCTGGTATGTGGAGTATGGTGCTAGTGTATAATCCGTTTAAACTGTGAAAAATTATCCAAATAGAAAAGTTTAGGCACTGTTCCTTTACAGTGTGTGTGTGTGGTGAATAATAATAATAAAAAAAATAAATTTCAAACAAGCAGAGAAAGTGATATGAAAAAGGAAATAATTCTCTAAACGTTTCTACAGTAAGTTGGATACCACTTATACCTGAAACACAGTGCTTTTAAATGTTGGTGATATTAACAGATCAGTATTGTAGAAATGTAGAATTTTGGGATGAAAATTTAGAAAGTGGAGGTGAGGGAGAGGAAGTTCATATAGGTCAAGCATATGCTTGCATAAACTTAAAGCGTTTACTTCTGGGATATGAAAGGAAAATTGCAGAGATAAGCTTGTTTCTGTTTCAGAAATAACCTGTGGGATTTGTGCAGTAAATTGTGTTAGGCAGAGTTAAGGTAGTGCTGGTGTAACAGTGGGGACTAGATCTGAGAGAACTGCAGGGACTTAAGCTTTTTTTTTTACAATGCATCATAAAGACCTAAGTGCTCTCTTTATTGTATTAAGAACTATTAGTAATGTTGTCATCACTTCCCTTTATATATGAAAATACCTTAGCGATGCAAATAGAAGTGGAAAAGAGCAGTAATGCTTCATGTTTTGGACTGATGTCATTCATTGAGCTTCCTTACACTGCAGTCTCAGTCCTCACAAGGACTGTTCTGTTTCTCATGCAGATATGACAGTTGAAATTAGAATATAGACACATGAAAATGTAGGAGCAGCTTATTCAATTTACAAGGGTAATGCGGTTTGAGCCTTAGCTGAAGGTTAAATTCTTTTTTCCACAAAAAAAAAAATCAACTTTAAACTATGAAAATTAAGCCTGCTTTTGAAAATTAGTACAACTTAAATACTTAAAAATGGGGAGGAGGCCCCTAAAAAGTACCATGATTAGGTGATTAAATATATAGAATAAATTACTCACTTTCTGGAACAGAGGGCTGTGAACAGCACTTCTGAAACTCAAAGAACAGCTCTTACCAAGACCCTTTTTAACCCAGCCATCAAAGAGGAGCCGTTCGATCTAGAAGTATATTGTTTGAAAGTACCTGAAGAATTTACTTCAGTAGCTAGCTGCAGCAGAAAAGTCTTTCTGTTCCTTTCAAAAGAGAGATTTTCAACCGTTTCCTTTTCTTACATAGACATCAAGCTGGATGGTTCCCCTTTAGGCAAGAGGGAGGCCAACAGCAGGCAGCCAATAACGTGGAAGTGAACCGTGGTGGGCAACATGCAAATAATCCTGACCTTGAGGAGATGGTGAGTAAGAGCAGATGTGTCTTTTGAGACTCCTGTTACATCGTAAAGTATGCTGTAATGCCTGGACAGTAAGTCAACTGCTATGAAATGTAGTTGGTTTAACCAGAAAGCTTTAAGCGTTGTCCTCAGTGTTGTGCCAGCGGCCTAAATTGTGTATTTTTCCAGCCTGACAGTTACTGATTGTCTCTGCTTCAGTCACTGACTTTCTTCGTGCTAGTTGCTCTTCAGGAGGTTCTTCTCAGAGAAGCTACTTAAATGTAGGAAGCTACTGCTGGTTACCTCCGTCAGAGCTCTGAAAAGAAGCAGTTGAATTCCTTCCATTTCTGTTTTTAAAGGAACGACTCATGGATGATGGGATCGATGAAGACAGCGGAGAAGATGCAGGTGAAGATGCCAATACAGAACAGCAGCCTGGATTCATGGCTTCTGCTTGGTCCTTCATCACAACCTTCTTCACATCACTCATCCCTGAAGGGCCTCCGCAGGTTGGCAATTGAAGCGGAAAAGGAACTGTGTCAGGCAGCCTCAGTAGCCATACGTAGACGTGGAGCAGATCCTAGAGAGTGTTTTAAATACAGTGCAATTCCTGAAAATTTATAACGTTATCTTTTTGATCATGGTGTACAAAAATGTGTATTTTTTTTCTTTTTGCTTTCTCATGCATTGACTATTTTAAGCACAAGTGGACTACTAAATGCTTTCTTTAAGATTCTTCTTTTTCTGAAGAATAAAATGTAAAGATATTGGTCTTCCATGTTTTATTTTCATTTCAAATGTGTATTATACTGAGGCAAAAAGCTTGTACTTCATCTGCACCATTACCTCTTTAAAGAGCTGTTAAACACACGAATGTTGACAGATCTTTCCAAATGCTGTCTAGTCGTCTGAATAACTTTAATGCATCTTGTGTTGGTTTTATGCAGGGTGTGAATTACCACTTGGGATTTGGAGTTTCCATCATTCCGGAAAGAACGCTGTGAACACAAAGATGACTTGGTAATGGCATGTTGTCTTCATGCCACAAAATACTAAGCCTCTTCTCATAGGTTTGGAAAGCTAAAAGCTTTTTCTTGAGGCTGTGCTGAAGTTCATTAAAGGTGGAGGTGTTTGACAGCTCTTCAAAGATAATTGACAGTGATGGGATAAACCTTAAATGTTTGATACATACAGTACTTTTTAAGAAAAACATAGCTGTACTGGGGAGAAACATGTACATGAGGTTTTTTTTAATAAAAACTGTTACGGTAACTCTTTTGGATGTTTATATGCATATTTGAATGCAACCAACTAAGCAGTGCATCATTAAGGATGAGGGTGTGATTGATTTCAGAGTGGAATAAAGTTATCACGTTGGCATTACCAGTACTGACTAAAGTGGTTTGTAGCAGCGCGTGCCCAATTCCGGGTGTGATCTCCGTGGCAGGATGTCTGTGTTCTTGATCTAATTAAAACTGAGGAAAGGAAAATTGTACATGAGCTATATATAGCACAGTGTGTTTTTTGGTTGCTTTCTTTAGATTTTCATCATAGTTAAGGAGTTTCATTTGTTTTTGTTTCGAATTCTGAAGTTACGATGAGTTACCTAACTTAAAAATGGCTGCAAAGATTCTTTTCTACTACAACCAAAAGAAAACTTACCTGTTTTTCTAATTTCCAAGTGCAGGGCAAAGCTCTTCAATAGGTCTGAACAAGTGAGAAATAAGGGTGAGTTTTTTGCTTGCTCACATCGAACTGCTGAAGCTATGCAGTGAAGTTTTAAAGCCTAAAAAGTTTTCTTTGGGTTTATACTCTGAAACATTTGTCAGGATTTCCAGGACTTCTTGAGTTATCTCTCAGTTGGAAAGAATAAATCTGAATAATTCTAATTTAAACAGCTTAAATAGAATGTTTTTTGAGTTACAAAATCATTCTCATTTACCAATCTGTCAAGAGGAGAAATAGAAATGTCTTACAAACATCCATTATTTTAATTGCTCTGTAGGCAGCAATGATGAATAAATCATGTTGAATTAGGATGTTTTACTCCCGTGTTACTATGGAGAGCTGCTCTCAATTTAGGTTCTTTACTACATAAGCATAAAATGTGTAGATCTTGTCCAGGAAATCTTACTCTTTTAATTTGGTGGATGGATCTAGCTTGACTAACACTTAAGAACTACTATAAAAACTTACATTTTTAAAGGAGTGGCACAGAGTGGCAAGCTTGGATGTGGTAAGACCGATATCTGGAGTGCATTGAAGAGGTTTTGCCTGTTTGACTTGTGTGTTCTCCCTCCAACTTTTCCCAAAAGTTGATTTATTTTTCTTTTTTTTTCCCCCTGGAGTTAGTGTGTCTGTAACCTGTGATGTTATGACCTACTGATGTCCAGCTAGTAACAGATTTTAGTTGCTTCTTGCTGCCATTGGTTTAGGTTTCTTTTGGTTTTGACACTTTTTTTTTTTGAGTTTTAATCAGGTCGTAGAGCTGGAGCAATGAGTTGAAGAAGCCAGACTTCCACGAGAACATCTTAAGGTCATTGAAACTCCAGCTTCCAGAACCTTACCAAGATCTAAGCAAGGAAAAGTAAAAAGATGGTTACTGAGGAAAATAAGTGAGAAATAAGAATGAGAGATATGCAGTGTTACGAAAAAGTAGTGAGAGAGTTGGAGGCAGAGGAAAGCCAATGGGAGGAGCAGAAATAAG